TCCAATACAAACTGTGCAGTGCTTCTCCTCTCAGATCCAGAGCAGTGGCTTTTCTTGTTAGAATTCAAAATTACTCCTTTCTTTCAGAAATGGTTTCCTTAAAAATAAAACTGCCATATGATCCAACATTTCTTCTTCTGGGTATATACCCAAAAGAAATTAAATCAGTACTTGTGGAGATATAGGTACTATCTCCTCATTACAGCATTATTCACAAAATCCAAGATACGGAAACAACCCCAGTGTCTGTCAGTGGATGAATGGGTAAAGAAATTGTGCTATGTATATACAATGGAATACTATCCAGCCATTCACAACAACATGGATGAAGGACGTTATGCTAAGTGAAATAAGTCAAACACAAAAAGGAAAGAACTGCATGATCCTCACTTATAAGTAGAATCTAAAAAATGTTGAATATATAGAAGCAGCAAGTAGAATGGTGCCAGGGATAAGGAGATGGGGAAAATGGGGAGATGTTTTAGTTATGTAGGATGAATAAGTCTGGATATCTAACGTATAGTATGATGACTATAATTTACAATACTGTATTGTACACTGGAAACTTATTAAGAGAGTAGATTTTAGGCACTCTCACTATACACACAAAATGGTCATTATGTAAGCAAATGACATGTTAATTAGTTTGGCTCTAGTAATCATTTTACTATGTAGTATATACTTCAAATGTGACCATTTTTATTTAACAAAACGATTTTCTTTCCTCCTAAACAATAGTCCTTAGGAGCCAATGCTAATTAATTCAACTGAGCTAAATATATAAAGGCTGGGGAAATTTACTCTTATAGAATGATTCATTTTCTCATGAATTGTAGTTGCTGATCAGAATTATTACTTTGGGAAAAAAAAGTTTACACATCTTCAGAGATAGTAGTGTCATAAGGATTTAGAAAGAGCTAGGTCTTAAATATTATTATTTCTGAATAATATAAAAATAAATGTCTAGATAAGTATTTCCTAATTAGCTATTTTCTTTTTATATTTACTATGAAAATAGATAAGCCAAGTTATGAAGAACTCTGAATTGTTCTTTTTTCATGATATTTTTTTAACTACTATACAATTCTAGATAATATATTTAGTTCAATTTCTGATTTTTCCATCTTCTCAAGATACAAATGAATTTTTCAGTAATTTACAAAAGATTACAAAACCTTTAGTAATCTATAAAGTGACATGTGGATTTGGAATTAATGTGTTCTTTTATCTTATTTATTTATTTATTTATTTATTTATTTATTTATTTATTTAACTCTCCTTAATCTTAATTAGGTTAATATACAATAATAGTGCTCTTCTTTGCATAATGCTATAGAATTTCTTCTTCTTCTTCTTCTTCTTCTTCTTCTTCTTCTTCTTCTTCTTCTTCTTCTTCTTCTTCTTCTCCTCCTCCTCCTCCTCCTCCTCCTCCTCCTCCTCCTCCTCCTCCTCCTCCTCCTCCTCCTTCTTCTTCTTCTTCTTTTCTAATTGTCACTTGAGCATATTTTTCCCATTGCTTTTCAGAGAGAGCAGAAGGGAAGGAGAGAATGAGAAAGAGAAAGAGAGAAACATCAATGCGAGAGAGACATATCTACCAGTTGCCTCCCAGCACAGGCCCCCGACTGGGGGCGGGGAGCGAACTTGTAACTCAGGTATGTACCCTTTACCAGGAATAAAACCAGAGACCTTTCCTTGCATGGGCTGATGTTCTAACCACTGAAAAACATGGGCCAAGGAAATGCTATGGATTCAAAGGAAGAGTTTACAAGGTAAATATGAAAATGTTACATAGGTCTGAATAGGACAATTAAATGATAGTAGTAAATATTTATCAAGTGCTGCTGTTTTTGTGTTGCTATATTTTTTTCTTGCTTTTTTAAAACTTTTAATTTTATTTTATATTGTTTTCAGATGTACAGTTTAGTGATTAGTCATTTACTTTACACAGTGTTCCCCTCTACATTTCCAGTTACCCACCTGTAAAAAAGCTGTGGTACATGTATATAATGGAACATTATTTGGCCATAAAAATGAATGAAATCTTAGCATTTGAGACATCATGGATGGATCTAGATACTATTATACTCAGTCAGACAAAGACAAAATATAATTCTTACTTATTTATGAGCAAGTTATGACTACCAATAATGGGAGAAAATCAAACTTTTCATGTTATGGAGAAGTCATAAAATCACATAATTAAAAATGCCTTAAAGAGTAGTGCCATGCCTGGTATAAGATAAGGAATGGTTGCTTTGCCAAAGAGAGGGCCAAGTATTATGATTAGTTCCACAGTCCAAATGATGTGAGTTAGTAGCCTATATTTCCTGCTTACGAGCTGAGTAACCTTGGTTAAGTTGTTCAATTTTCTTAAAACTCAGTTTTCTCATCTGTAAAATTGGGATTTACTTATTTATTTAACAAGTATTTCTCGAGCATGTTCTTTGTTCCAGGCACTATTCTAGTTCTTGAGAATACAGCAGTGAACAATAAAGAAAAAAATTCTTGCCATTGTGTATATTTTAGAATTAAACAGGAAAGGAGGAAGAAAGGAAGGAGAAGAAAAACAGAAAAGCATATAGTTTGTCAGATAGCCTTTATTATTGCTATACTACAGAAAAAAAATAATAAAGCTGGGGAAGGGATAGAAATTCCATGGCAAGAATTTGTAATTTTAAATAGGGTGGCAAGGCCAGGTTTCTCTGAGAAAGTGACATTGAGCAAACTTACCTGCAGGACATGAGGCAGCTCCTTGTGCAGGCATCTGGAGAAAAAGCTCTCTGAGCAGCTAGGATAGCAAGAGCAGAAGTCTTAAGGCTGACACATGCGACAAATTCAAGGCACAGCCAGGGTCCAGCATGGCCGGGAGCATGAGCAAGAAATATGATAGATGATGGAGTCAGAGAGTCAGGGAGGGAAAGCAGGATAGATCACATACGCCTGTAAGCTACTGCAGAGAGTCTGGCTTTTACTCTGAGCAAGCTAGGAAGCCACCAGAGGTTTTGGGTCAGAGGAGAGACCTGGTCTGATGTGCATTTTAACTGGATCACCTGGTAGCTAGGTTGAAAATAGATTCTAGGAAAACAAAGGTAGACTCAGAAAGAACACTGAGAAGGCTGTTGCATTGACCCAGAAGAGAGAATATGGATATTCTAAAGGTAGAACCAATGGGATTCCCAATTGAATTAGATGTAAACAACAGGATTTGCAACTGGATTAGATATGAAATGAGAGGAAAAGGATCAAAGGTGACTCCAAAGTCTTGGACCTAAGAATCTGGAAGGATTGATTCCTTTTTCTGAGGAGGATGCTATGAGAGGAACTGCTTATAAGAGAGAACAGGAGTTCAGTTTTGTGTATGCTGAATCTGAGGTGCCCTTCGTGATTCAAATAAAGATATCAAGTAAGTAGTTGGAGATGAGTCTAGAGTTAAGAGGAGAAGTCCTGTTGGAGCTAAAAGTTAGAGGTCATCAGTAGGTATATAATGGAGCTGCATATGTCACCAAATAAGTGATTGAGGTCTGGGCTGTGGGTTATCCAAACAGAGAAGTCAGGGCGATAAGTGAAAACTAGAAAAGCGGACAGAATGAATGGCCAGTGAATGGCCAAGAGAATATGGGTCCTGGAGGCTAAGTAGGTCCTGTGTTTCAAGGAGAAGAGAGTGGCTCACTGTCTCTCACAGACCCAGTGAGATGCAAACTGAGAGTTGAATGTCGGATTTGTCCACTATATCCCTCATGGAGCAGCAGGGATGGAAACCTGGCTGGAACAGTTCCAAGAAAGAATGGAAGGAGAGGTACTGGAGGCAGCTGGTCTAGGAAACTTTTTCAAGAACAGGAAATGAAGGAGAATATAGAGCCAAGAAAAGTTCTGTTTCATTGTTTGGTTTGGTTTTTAAAATTGCAGAAAGCAATGGCATGTTGAGATCTGTGTTTAATTCTTGTTAGATTTCTTTGTAAGTTGATAGCAATGATCCTTTACAAAAAGTAATGATTAACCTTATTGGCCTTTTAAACATTAAACCCGGACCTGGAGAAAGCAAACACTGCTCCAGCCAATTTTCCTCACTTCGACATGAACACACTTGCTCCCACCTCTGAATGCTGTTCATGTCATTCCCTCTGGCAGGAATGCTGTTCCTCCTTCTTTTTAAACAGATTCAAATTCTATCCATATATCAAGTATCAAGTTCTATTTCCATCAGGAGGCTTTCCCTAACTTTGGAATCTAGATTAATTGTTTCCTTTTTTTTTTTTTTTTTTTTTTTTTTTTTACTTTTATAGCACTTAGTATTTGTAAACACTTTCAAGTACCTCTGTGTACAAAGGAATGAGCTAGATTTGGGAGGTGAATAAGTTAAATAAGAAGCACAGTGTCCATGCTCAAGAAGCTAAAAACTTGCTATCTATTGTATATTATAATCCTTTGTACATATCTTTTCCCCCTAATTACCTTGTAAATCTTGAAGGCAGGCAAGAATTAATGCTTTCATTTTCTCAGTGTTCCACACAATGAGGGAGCCATTAGTATGATAAAGTTATTTTAATTATTTAAAATATTACTTCCCAATTATATGAAATAATTACTCCCCAAACCTAAGCTTAATGGTCTATTTCTTCAAACATTTTTATAACAGTTATTTTAAGTCTTTCAAAAAGATGTTAGATATTTCCCTGCTGTGTTTTATAAAGGTCCTTAAAGATGATAGTATTTTAAAAATGATTCTGATCTCCTTGTGGGAGGCAGAACTGGGTATCTTCATTGGGAACTTCGATAAAGCTGAACTTAGGGCATATTGCACATTTGCTGCAATAACTGTTCTTAAGGCTCAATTTTATATAGAGAAAAATAATCTGATAAGCAGTTCCATGGAGCGATTTGAAACTTGTATTTCAAAAAATATCAAAGCAAATGAAAAGACAAGAGATTTCCACAATTTCCAGTGCTTTCCTGATGGCAGAATAAACCACGGGGACTACTATTGAGGTAGGAAATGTGAATATGCATGTGCTGAAATCACACCAAGAAGATGGTACAGAGTATTGTTCCTTGCCTCTATCAGCCTGGTATAATGAAACAGAGGGAAGATCCAGTGACTGTACTGTTGGCAAGTTTGTAGCAGATTTTCTCCAAGGCTTATTGAAGAACACAAAACTTTATTAAATGAGGCAGAAATAATGAAAGATACATGTGAGTCCCTTATAATTGCCAGTTAAAGAGAGTGAGGAGAAGGAAAAATAAAGTAAAATAAGATAAGCAGGTGAGCAGATGAAAGCAAGAGGAAGAAGAAAAAAAAGACAGAAGAAGGAAGACAGAGAGGAAGAACTGACCGGGGACAGGAGTGGGGCGGGAGGCAGAAGAGGAAATAAAAAGGCAGAGAAGGAAAAGGAAGTTAGCAGGGAGAAAGACTTTGGATATTTTAAGATATTTTTTTAAAGGTCATGCCCTGTTTTTTCTGTGAATTAAAGATTCAGGAAACAAACCTTCCTGTTTCATGTGTGTTATTCTTGTGTTCCTCATCAGCGCTTATTGTGTATTAAGATAAGAGTATCTGCAAAGAGAAGGGGGTTGCATCTAAAGGCTGGGGCCCTTTCCTTAAAGAAGATGCATGTCTTTTACACTTGAAAAAGGAAGTGAGACAGAGAGCCTTGGTCTTGCTCAAGAAGGACGCAATCCATGCAAGAGACATAGTCTACATAAAAGGTATACGTTAATATGACTTAATATAACATGACATGTTCTGTCATTTGAAGCTTAATATGTCATAATTTCATAACTGATGGCTTCTTCAAACTGAAACATGGAAGCACAGGGTGTGGTAAAAACAGGTTTACAGTTGTGGGTACTCTAAGTAGAGTTTATTCCTATATGATTATTTCTTAATTATTATATTGTTTTCCCTATGAACAACTGTGAACCTACTTTTGCTCTGCCCTGTACACAGTTATCTATATTTGAGTTCAGATAAAAGTAGAGTGCTGAATCCAAAGCCAGGACAGACGAAAACCAAGACAATTGTCCTGGTAGGGAAGGTATCTCACAGCCATGTCTGGGGAAGGTCTGTCAGGAGAATAGACAGAAGTACATTCAGGCAGATGCTAAAGAAATAGTATCTACCTGGCTGGGGGTCTCATTGCTGCTCACCATTTAGGTTTTCTAAGTCTCAGGTTGTCTTAAGGGCTACTCTCTGTAATTATCAGAAGGCCAGTCCCCCAAGTATGGACCCTGACTCTTTAAAGATTTCCTTTCTTGATTTCCAGGCAGGGGAAGCTCTGCTGACGTTTACTAATTCCAATTAACCTTATTATGTCAAACAATCTTTGTTAGAAACCTTAATTCCTCAAATTATAATAGTTTATATATATAGTTGACCCTTGAACAAACAACATGGGTTTGAATTTTATGGATCTACTTATATGTGAATTTTTTTCAACAAATGCCTATACTGTTCTATCCATGGTTGGGAATCCTCATATATGAAGGGCTTACTGTATGCATTGTTTGACACTATCCTATATAATAAAGAGGCAATATGAAAATTGACAGTCACACCATCACAAGATGGTGGCAACCACAGTGGGGGTGAGCTGGCTGCTGCGTACACCAGCTGCCAGAGGCCCCTCAGCCCCACCGGGTTCTCCTGCACCTGGTTCTCCTGCACCCTCCACTGACTGAGGCTCAGGCAAGCAGGGCCAGCTGAGGCGCAGGCAAGCCTCAGATGGCGGTTGCCCAGTCACCCAGGGCTGGCCCAATTATTTATTGTAGTATATAGAAATACAATTGATTTCCATATAGACCTTGTATCCTATGAACTTGATAAACTCTCGTGCTACTTTTAGTAGTTTATTTTGACAGTCTTGTAGGATTTTTAATGTAGCTAATCATGTCCTTTGCAATACATCAAGTATTATTTCTTAGGTTCACTGTTTTTAATTTGACATTTTTTTTCAGGGGGCTCTAGGAAAAAAGGCATATCTACAGCAAATGAGAAGAATCAGATCCAGTTCCATATTTATATGCTGACAAAACCTACATTAAACTGCTGCTTTATTAACTGCATTCATTTTAAATTTTTCTGTGAAACTAACTATGCCTGTGTCATTTGTGCTCGGTGACTGATTCCTACTGCAGACTATTTGATTCTAAACTCTAAAGTATGCAAACTATAATGTTCACTTTGGATAAAATATTTCCTCTTGTGGGCCACTTTTTAAAACATATACAAAATGGAACTTTTGTGGCTAGACATAAGCCAAACGCTACAGGGCAAGGGGAAATTACAGCAAGACATTTGATTAAAGAGTTTAAGATCAGGGAATTAAAGAATGCAAAGGACAAAAAGGAAGCTAACAGTTAGGCTGGAAATCTATTAAAGGAAACAGGATACATGGCCTTGAGAACTCCCCTAGATTCCCAGACTAGAAGCATATGCCAATTGAGGTTGGGAAGAGAGGGAGAAGAATAAACAGGATTTGAAACAGAGGGATTCAGATGCTGTGAGGCTTTCCCAGCCGATGTGGGAAATGAGCCCGGCTCCACAGTGGGCTCATCGGCGTTGGAACCAGAATGTGGAGGGAAAATTCTTGAGGATGGAAAAGATCTACAGAAATATCTGGCAGTTAGAGGATATGTCAAAAACAATGCCAACTAACAAAAGATATTCTAGTTGCTCTGGGACCCCCCAGCTAGTTCCTCTTGAAGTTCATTACATAAGACATCTTGAATACCAGAAAAACGACCCCTATATCAAGAAAGTTTTCTATGGTCTTTCCATAAAGGAATATGCCTAGTACTATTTTTAATCTTAATTATTCTATCAACCCTTTAATGAAGTCTGTCTTTCAACATTGATTCAACAAGCATTTATACATTCATGCCAAACCAGGCAGTATTTTAGGACCCTAAGAATATGGGTATTAATAGAGTTCACTGCCCTCTGTAAGGTAACAGGGCAATGGAAGAGATAGACGACAAAGTAACCAGTTGTGATGGATAAACAGCCAGGAGCCAGGATGAGGGATTCTTAACCCAGACTGGAGAGGTACGTCAGAGAAAGCTTCCCAGAGGAGACTGCACTTATGGTAAAAAGGTCTGTACACTAGAAATCCTTCTATCAGCTGTTGGTTCAGAGAGATGAGCAATAAATTATATAAAAATAACTAATGCCTTACACACTTAATTTAAACAGTAACATATTCAGGGCATTTGTTCACCAGGTTATTTGGTTATAGGGTCAAGGCTTTCTTTTAAGCATAAGCCTTCTAACTGGAGTTCCCTTGTTTCCTTTGCCACAAAGATCACACCCCTAATGCATTAACTACATAAGTTCTAGGGCTTTTCTTTAAATGGGAGCCAGAATGTGGAGAAGATTGTAAAGCGATCTGAATAGAGAATCCTTCTTGATTTTTAGTACTGTATTTGCCTTATATGATTCTCTTGCCCACACCTGATTCAATAGCATTTGTCTTAAGCAGCCCATCTTCATCCTTTTCCAAGCATTTGATTTGATTTTTATAGTAATGACTTTATTTTGGCACTCATAAGTTGTTGATTCATTTAAGGCAGTGGTTCTCAACCTTTTTAATGCCGCAACCCTTTAATACAGTTCCTCATGTTGTGGTGACCCCCCACCATAAAATTATTTTCGTTGCAACTTCATAACTGTAATTTTGCTACTATTATGAATCATAATGTAAATGTCCGTGTTTTCTGATGGTCTTAGGCGACCCTGCTAGCAGGTTCTCAAACTGTGGGTCATGACCTGTGGGTTGAAAACTGCTGCTGCAGTGCCTAAGACCATCAGAAAACACAGATATTTACATTATGATTCATAACAGTAGCAAAATTACAGTTATGAAGTTGCAACAAAAATAATTTTATGGGTCAGAGTCACCACAACATGAGGAACTATATTAAAGGGTCGTGGCATAAAAAAGTTGAGAGCCACTGATTTAAGGTTTAATTACATTATTACAATAACAATTGGTGCAAACAAGTTTGAAACAAACATTTTCTTTTTAGTTATCAAACAACTCAGTCAGTAAAAGTAAAAGTGTAGCCATCAGCTGCAAGAGTCTAGCATATCCTGGAACTCACTGCGCATCTCACAGAGAGGATTTAGAGTGACAGTTAATCCAAGAGGTGTTTACTGGAGATCTGTTAAAAGGACACTTATACCTGACTGGCATAGCTCAGTGGTTGAATATAGACCTATGAACCAGGAGGTCATGGTTTGGTTCACAGGGCACATGCCCAGGTTGTGGGCTCAATCCCCATTCCCCAGTTTGGGGCATGTATAAGGCAGCTGATCAATGATATCCTCCTATCATTGGTGTTTCTATTTCTCCCTCTCCCTTACTCTCTGAAATAAAAATCTATTTTAAAATACATTTTAAAATAAAAGAACATCTATTATACTACAGAAAAGGCACATATAGTCCAAGAAGAGTAAACAGCACAAAGATATGGAGGTAGGTACAAATGCACACAAATATATATGGAGAATGATGATGAGTTCAGACTTCAAGCTAAATATCTCACAGTTGGACTTTGCATTTTAAATGCCTATAAACCATTCATTTTCCTTAACTTTCTTATTGTTTAACAAAGCTGTCAAATTCATCTTTTTCAACATGAACACTGAGGACCCTGCATTTTAATGAACTTGCCAACATCAATTTCAAGGCATGTATCTGAACATCGGAGTATTGTAAAATGTCTATTGTCTGCCTCATCAGCTTCCATGGTACATGTCCCCAAACTGTTCCTAGCAAACATAAAACAATGTAGAAGCAAAGGTTTAGAAAACACATGCAGGGTCATTTAAAAACCACTGAAAACTCTGAAAGAGACTTATTAACAATGTAAACAATCTAATAGTTATAAGAACAATAAATAGTCTTAGCCAGTTTGGCTCAGTGGATAGAGCATCAGCCTGCGGACTGAAGGGTCCCAGGTTCGATTCTGGCCAAGGGCACATACCTGGGTTGCAGGCTCAATCCCCAGTAGGGGGTGTGCAGGAGGCAGCCAATCAATGATTCTTTCTCATCATTGATGTTTCTATCTCTCCTTCTCTCTTCTTCTCTGAAATCAATAAAGAAATAGATATGTATTTTAAAAGAACAATTAAAAAAAAAACCATGAAATTCTTCAGAAGATGTGAAAAGTGTGCAAAGTATTGGAAAGGTTGGAGGAGCAATGTCAGAGCCAGCTCCCAAGGCACCACCATTTTGTTTAGCCCTCTTTATCTCAAAGTAAAAAGAACTTTGGAATCGGTTTTCCCAAGAAGCTTGAAGATCTTTGAGTAGCTTTCCATATTTGGCACCACAAACTGCATTTACAACAAATGTGGTAAAATAACTCAAGCAGCTGACAAATGCAAGGAGGAATGTAGGCAGTGGAACTATTAAGTCAATAATAACAAAGTCTATTTATCTTGATCAGTAAGTATTCAGAAGTAAGAAACGTGTACTCATGGTGGCCCACCAACTACCAGATGCATTACAACAATTACATTGATTAGAATGTCATTTTCGTGTGTGTGTGTGTGTGTGTGTGTGTGAGAGAGAGAGAGAGAGAGAGAGAGAGAGAGAGAGAGAGAGAGAGAGAGAGAATATGCCTTCCAGCCCTGCCAATTTTTCAACTTGGCATTCAATCTCTGCTCTTTCTCAGGGTCATCCTTCATTCCTTCTTCTTTGACCCTCTGGCAAAGCCTCATCTAGTCCCTCTATACCTTCCCAGGACCATGTGCAGAGCTGGCCCCTAATCTGTTATTGCTCCAGCCTCCAGCCTCCAGCCAGGGCCTGACAGTCATAAATGTGATTCTTCTGGCAGCCCTGCAGGGAGCTTATAAGAACAGGCAAGCAGGAGGGACCAGCCCTGCTTTGCAGCTGTGACATTATGTGCCAAAACAGGCATTAATGTCGCGTGGAAGAGAAATAGGAATAAGGGACAGAAAGAATTTGCCTCATGTTATAACTGAGCTATGGTTTACAATCCACATTTCTTGGTCATTTTTACGGTGAAATTTGAGTAGTTTTAGAACTAGTGTTACTGCTTAGAATAAGAAGAAATTGGCACTGAGAAATGATTGATTTAAATAAATATTCGGGAGTGCTTTAGCCAGACCCACTCAGTTTGATACAACAAGCAAAATCGTCCAACCCTGCATGCAGCTGCTCATGGGTAAATGAACAGCTAATTTCAACAGGGCTGCTGAATAATCAAGGCTTAAAAGGAGACATCCTAACGGAATTTGATCTCTTGCCTACTCATTAGAAAACCTACAGCTGTACATCAAAGCCAAGCACATGCTCCTCCCTCATTAGGGCCAAAGGGAGACTAGGATTCTGGGTCCCTCCAAAGTACACTTGGGACTCTTTTAAGACAGTGGTTGTTTTGAAGTAGACAAATCAGAAAAGAAGAGGGAAGCCATCTCTTGTTACGGTGATGATTTTACATAGTTTTCTGAGGGCTGGTCACTGCTGGCCACTACCAGTCCCTGACTGGCCTTGGGTTTACACAAGAACCTTCTTGTAACATGAATGAACTGAGAGCCCCTCCCCCTCTCTTCTGTCTCTAATATGCAATTCATTAGAAGAACAATAAAAACAATGCTGTTTTATATTTGAATGGCAATTTAGAATTTCCCATTGTCCCATACACGCATCCAAGAGCTAGAGATCTTGGCATTTTGATGCTAAAAAGCATATTCTACCCTACCAATTCTGTTATCATAGGAACTAGTTTTCATGGAAACAGATTGTGGCATTTGATATGGATCATTTTATAGCTTTAGGTGTCTTATAAGTCTCCATATACCTCAGCACAGCTCTTGCGCCATGCATAAAAAAATACCACTGAGGATATGCTCAGTGAACATACTCAACGGCCTCTGAATTTGTTTCTGATCTGCGCTCATGTAAGCCATTTGTACCTCACTCCACCTTTTGGCCATCACATTATAAATCCTCATTTATTATCCAGATTTTCTTCTGCACCCACTGGCTATGCTCCCTGTTCTCATCAATATTTCTCCTCCCACAGGATGCTCCTAATTAAATGTGACCATGGCCTAAAGGGGG